TTTTTTTACGTGCTTGATACGTGGCATACGATTATCACCAAACACGCGTACCTACAGATAGTCGAATAATAATTCTATAAATCCTAATGTATATACATTTATTTGTATTTATCTCCTGTTCAAGAAAATATGGCAAAATTATAGTATACCTATAATAGGTATCTGGTATATATGTCCTGTAAATAATTTAAGGAGAAAACGTACGTAACCACCACTATAGATAAAAATATTTTCTAAAATGTACTCAATACGTGCGTCACAAATCACAATATGCTGAATGCGTCGTGGCACACTTACGAGGAAAGGCAGAGTGGGGCTGAGTTTAAACCCCATCCTCACTCAGAATAATAAAGAATATAATAATAATATATGTTATAGAATTAATGAATTAATAATAATATAGTATGATTTGGCTTTATGACAATATAATATTATAAATTTATTGAAAATAAAACGTTACCATATAGTTCTAAAAATAATAATAAGTTAGTAATGAATTAATAATAATATAGGATGATTTTGTTGTTACTTTAAAAATAATATTATATGTTTGTTGAAAATAAAACCGTACTATATTGTTTTATTAATAATATTAATTTCATAATTTCATAATAATAATATAAAAATATTTTTTTGTTACTACTATATAATAATATAAAACTTGTAACGTAAATAAAACAATAGTATATTATTTTAATTATATTATTTTAGATGTAATGAATTAATAATATTTTAGTATTATTATCATTACATTTTTGATACCTGGGTACATAGGTAAAGTTTTGTTATAAATTGTTATACAGGAAAGTATACGGGAAACCATCGGTCATGGAAGACACGGTGAAGATAACAAAATTATGTGCGGAAAACTGGTCGTTATGGAAGTTCCAGATGAAGGTCATTCTAAATGCCTTGGAAGTAGGTGAGATAGTTTCAGGTGAATGGACGAAACCAAGTCTACCTATAAAAAAGTCGGCAGGAGAGACCGACGAGGATGCCAAAACACGTTGGCAAAGGCAGACAAACGCTTGGCAAAAAGCGGACGGTAAATGTCAGAAAATAATAGTTACCTCAGTGGACGATGGTCCATTACAATATTTGATTAACTGTGAGACTGCATTGGAAATGTGGGAGAAACTGCTGAGTATTTACGAGCAGAAGTCTGAGGCAAGTATACATTTGCTTCAACAACAATTTTTCAGTTATTCAAAGGAGTCGACAGATGACATGTCGACGCATATTTCTAAATTGGTCAATTTAGGAAGGAAACTGAGAGTAGCGGGTGAACCAGTTACGGATAACATGGTTATGACAAAAATACTAATGACATTACCAAAAGAATATAATCATTTTTACAGTGCTTGGGATTCAGTCCCAACGGGAAGTAAAAATATAAATAATTTGACTAGTCGATTGTTGTTTGAAAAATCACGGGTTATCCAGATCAAAGGTGAAGTTGGTGAAAAAGAGAAATCGAGTGCATTTCCGGCCAAATTTCAAAACAGATCTGATGGAAGAAACGGCAGTCGTAATTATGGAAAAGGTAAAAATCAATTTACTAATAAAAGTAATATTAAGTGTTATTACTGTGGTAAACTAGGTCATTATAAAAGAGACTGTAGAAATTTTCTACATAGTGTACACGGTGGTAAAACCGGTACTATAGGTGCGAACTTGAACGCATTCGTAAGCTAGTCAAGAATAAATAATATTGCAACAGATGCGTTGGTACTAGACTCGGGTGCATCGGATCATATGAGCGCAAATCGAGAGTGGTTTTCAAGTTATGAACCACTGGACAACACTCAACAAATCACTATAGGTGATGGGACAAATCTGTATGCAGCAGGTAGAGGTAATATTAATATATTATCATACGTAAACGGTTATTGGAATAAAAATTACATGGCAAACGTGTTGCACGTGCCGGGACTAAAATTTAATTTATTTTCGTGCGGTGCCGCGATGGATAAAGGATTAGTAATGACGTCAGATAGTAAGACGTGTATGTTAACTAAACAGGGGAAACCCGTATTGCAGGTAAGAGATGCGGAAGGTTGTTTGAGTTAAACATCAAGGTCGAAGTACCGACAAACGGGTACGCGACGGTAGCTGTCGAAAACAGGTTGTCTGTTTGGCACGAGCGCATGGCACATCAGAATTTACAGTACGTAAAAAGTTGTTTGACGAAACACGAAATAGTATGTTCGGCCAAGGACGACGAATTCATGTGCAGCAGTTGTATAATAGGTAAACAAAGTCGAAGATCATTTAGTAAAAGTAATATGGTGTATCACAATGTCGGTGATTTAATTCATGCAGACCTATGTGGACCAATGGAGGTAAGCTCTATAGGCGGTTCAAAATACTTTTTGTTATTCAAAGACGACTACTTGCATTATAGAACGGTATATTTTATTAAAAATAAATATGATGTTAAAAATATTTTTGAGACATTCATAAAAAGTGTTGAAACAGAAACAGGTTCTAAGGTCAAAATATTACGAACGGATAATGGATTAGAATTCGTAAATAAAGAAATTACGGGTATTTTACAAAAACACGGGATTCGACATAATTTAACAGTTCCCTACACACCACAGCAAAATGGAAAAGTGGAACGGGAAAATCGTACAATAGTAGAGTCAGCGAGGACAATGATTTGTGCGAAAAATTTGGATGTATCACTTTGGGCGGAGGCGGTAAACACGGCTGTTTACACGCTTAATCGAACAGGAACCAGTTCAGTTAAAAATAACTCACCGAGTTATATTATAAGGTAATGCCAGACATTAAACACTTACGAGTTTTTGGTACTGTCGTATATACACACATACCAAAGCAAAAACGTAAAAAGTGGGACCCTAAAAGTGAAAAAGGAATATATTTTGTTGGCTATTCGGATAATACCAAAGGTTATCGTGTGTATTATTCGAAAACAAATAAAATTTCAATGTCTAGAGATATTATATTCAAAAACGAAGGTAATAAATTGGAAAATATAATTGCAGAAAAATTAGAATTCACAGATACTCAGACTCAAATCGAGGACGATCCGGTCAAGGTCGAATTGACGACGGTCGACAACAGGAGTGGCATGGTGCTACGAGATCGGAATACGTTAAAAGTGCCGATCAGGTATAATGTGTCGTCGTTCGTCGCCAATCTCGTTGAACCACTAAATCGTGATGAAGCGATAGCTGGCCTACAGAAAAACGAGTGGGAGCACGCCAAGAGTGATGAAATTACGTCACTACACAAAAACAACACTTGGTCACTAGTTAATTTGCCTCAGGGCAAGGTTGCATTACGTAACGCATGGGTTTTCAAAACCAAATATAAAAGTGACGGTATTATCGATAAATTTAAAGCCAGATTGGTCATTAAAGGTTGTTCACAGAAATATGGTATAGATAACCATGAAACATTTTCGCCAGTGGTCAGATACGAATCAATTAGGGCGATATTCGCAGTAGCAGCTGTGGAAAAATTAATACTACGACAATTCGACATCAAGACAGCATTTCTATACGGAGAACTACAGAAAGAAATTTACATGGTACAACCACCAGGATACGAAGATGGATCGAATAAAGTCAAGGAACTTTTAATACCAATAGACAAATCACATACACTTGAGCAAAAAGAAGATACGGAAATATTGAATGAAGATATTCCTTATAGTCAGTCAGTAGGTAGCTTACTGTTCTTATCACAGGTAACAAGACCAGATATATCTATATGCAGTAAACTTTGCTAGTCGTTACTTAGCAAAACCAACTAAAGCTCATTGGAACTTGGTAAAACGGATTATACGATATATCAAGCGAACATTTAATTATGGCTTGTACTTTAATAACAAAACAAAATTGTCATTAGAAATATTTAGCGATGCATATTACGCAGGTGACATTCAGACACGACGTTCGACGTCAGGATTTCTATTCAGGTACGGGTCAAGCATAATTTCATGGACATCGCAGAGACAACATTGTGTGTCGTTATCATCGACAGAGGCTGAATATATTTCGGCCAGTGAAGCTGTCAAAGGGATCTTGTGGTTTACACGGTTGATAACAAGCTTATCGACAACAGGTGACAAACAACCGGTTTTATTTATAGATAATCAGAGTGCTATTCGTTTAGTTAAAAATCCGGAGTTTCATAAGCGGACAAAACATATAGACATACGGTACCACTTCATACGGGAGAAATACGAAGAGGGACAATTCCAACTACAGTACATTGGAACAGAGGACCAGATTGCGGACATTCTAACCAAGCCTTTGGTTAAGGAACGATTCGAGAAGTTGCGGTCAGCCATAGGAGTGACTACAATTAAAGAGATTATTAATTGAGGGAGGGTGTTGAAATATACAATTAATATGTAGTATATGTAGTCAGCCTTGACACGTGTGTACAATATAGTAACTAGTTATGTACGAGCATAAGACTCACTCTCTTCACGGATGTAACATGACCTCGGTCGTGCATATATATAGGGCCTTTGATGTATGTAATATTCACTTGCACAGGCGTCGTTGTACAGAGCGTATACGATGTGTGTGTACTGTCACAGTTTAATTGTCCAGTTGTACGTTATTATATATTATACTTATACATAATCATATTGTCGTGTTATTACTTATTATATTAATGCTAACATCATTAGTCCGTCAAGCTTCACTTTCAACAGTTAACATTTGGATAATGTCGACATTATCCGGCTAATGAGACATTAGCCAACTGTCATCATAAGCCGCCATGAATTTTGGCTAATGTTAACATTAACCGGGTAATATTACATTTGCCAAGAACTTTTGAATAATGTTTTAACAATGTATCATACATGAGATGCAATAATTTAAATTATTAACAATATTAATATTATACTTAAGACATAATTGGAAACAACTATAAATTACATAATGTTAATAATATGAGTTTAATTTTTAATTTTTAATTTTTAACAACTTAACCTACTTACGATACATAATGTGTTATCCTTTATTATTACATGGCATGCTTCCATGACATTTTGATTTGCACAAATTGCTAGATGATTTCCATTTACATCGATTGGTGTCACATTTCCGCTTACATGAACACCTTTTATATCCTTGACCACCACCATCTGACATTTGACTCCCAATTTCCCTCAATAATTTTACTACATGCACCACCTCATCAAGCGGTATTAAAGACACAGGACAAACATCAAATTGATTTCTGGTGTATAACTGTGGCAAAGTACCATATTTATTGCCAAGTTTATAATATTGCCCATCCTCAATAGACACAACTCCAAATATAATATTTCTTGGGTCTGCTCGTCCTCTGTCGACATCCGGTAAAGAGACTCTCACACTGTCTCCAATGTTGGCTTTGGGAAACTTATGTATAGACCTAAATTTCATTTTTTCAGCTTGGTTCAGTAAACAAATTTCAGATTTTTTCTATTATTTTCGATTGATTTCTGTAAAAAATTAATTATTAGTAATGGGAACAATAAAGGTAATTTAAAATAACAATATCTTACCTGTCTTGAGCATATTAAGTCACATAATCCTTCGTCCTTGGATGCTTTCGAACAACAATTATCATTCACCACTTGAACATTATTTGTTTCATCCACGCCTTCGTTTTCGTCTTCTTCATTGATATTGTTTAAAAATATTACAAGATCGTCTTCAGTATTGATATTATCAACGGAATCGCTGGAAAAACGTTAAATGGTCTTGGTAAACCATAATAAAGCGAAATTCTCCATCAGCTTGCGATTGCATGTCGATCAGGTCAACCTGACAACGACTATTCATTTCTGAATGAATAATCGGTTTAACAACAAGGTCTTTTCGTTTAGATAACAGTTTTGTTTGACAAGGTCCACAAAATTTTAAAAACATAAGAACAACTTCCTGAGTTAAATTTTTGTATTTTTTTTTTATTTCTGCCATCATTCGATGCTTATCGGTAAGATAAAGTACTGCTGCATTATATTATAGCAGGTTAACCTACGATTATACTCGTAATTCAAATAATCTACAGATAGACCGATCTATATGTGTAATCGATAAAATATAAAATTATTACACGTGTAGATTACACTTGGTCCCACTTTTTATAAAAAAATTGAATTCAGTTTTCACTTTTAACATTATCCAATGTTGACTGGCTAATGTCGACATTATCCGGATAATGTTAATATTTCATTAATATAAACGAAAAATTACACATTAACCAAAACGCATGGCTAATGTCGACATTATCCAAATGTTAACGTTACCCGTAACATATACATTTGAACTAGTTTCGAAATTCGTAAGATTTGGGTTGGAAAAAAGGGTCCTTCTTTGTTTTGAAAAAACCGAAATGATTGATTTTAGTTGTCAATGTATATATTTTTTAGTAAAAATGTTTATATATAACCCATAATAGATAAGGGTTTATCGTTGCAGTGTAGTAGACTTGAATACAAATATTTACAGTGATCTGTTTATATTTATTTATATATTATTTATACACGTTTATAAATGACGTATATTTCTTCAAACGAATTAGGTAGGTATCTTATGCAATGTTTGTATTTTGTATATATTATTATATTATCCAGATATTCTAAGAATAAATGTAAATGTTATATCACAGAATAGATGAAATAGATTTCATCTATTCTGTGGTTATATGGTGTAAAATCTAATAATATATACTATGTACAACTCTATACTAAAAAGTGAATATTTTGGAAATAATAATTCCTTAATATATAATACAAGGCAAGTTTGGGTAATTATAATATAGACTAGTGGATATGGTTAAAATGAAAAGTAAGGATGCATAAGCATATTTGTGTTTAATTCAAATTTAATAAAATAAATCTAACATGAAATGTACTGTATCAACGGTGAAGTCAAAATATGATAGTTTTATTTTTGCATTTAGTGATCAAACTATCTCGAAGATGACGTCTAAGACCCTCAGAGTCGATATCCTCTATTCTCCTTAGTCTGTATATACCTACTAGTTACATAAATATATAATTCTGTGTATGTTGTCGAGTAATCCTCTGAGCTGAATAAAATATAGGTAGATCTAACTATTTTAATTGAGATATTTTTCTATAATATGCGTGCTTAAGCTTAGGTACTATGGTCTCATCTAATAGAATTGAACCTATTTATGTATGAATGCTGTATATATGTGCCATGTATGGGAATAAATGATTATATATAATACAATAATAATATATAAGTTTTATAGTATGTTTAGGTGGGGTTAGTCTAATTTACTGATTTACTGATTTACTGATTTACTGATTTGGGGCCATAGCGCCCGTAGCATGGGCAAACTAAGTCCGAATAAGTTCAAACTTCACAAGTGCCATTATAATACCCCCCTCCAACTCCCTACCAAATTCCAGGTTGCCCCGTCGATTTTCACTTCCGGGTTACTTGTCGCAGAAATATCACAAACTTAAAAACTTAACCAAAAATTATGAAATTTTTTACTCGGCATAAGTTGTACCGTATTTAAATATGGGGAAAATCTCAAGTGCCTACCTCGAAAACCCATGCAGTTATAAGACAAATCAGTAATTTATTCACATAATCGAATCAGTAAAATCACGCGCCGCAGTCCAGGAAAACTGCTGATTTGCTCTTACACTCGCAATAGTTTATAAAAAATTATGAAATTTTTTACACGGTAACGGTTATACCGTATTTAAATACCTTGGAAATTTCAAGTGCCTACCTCGAAAACCCATGTAGTTATAAAACAAATCAGTAATTTATTCACATAATCGAATCAGTAAAATGACGCACCGCCGTCCAGGAAAACTGCTGATTTGCTCTTACACTCGCAATACTTAACCAAAAATTATGAAATTTTTTACACGGTAGGGGTTGTACCGTATTTAAATACCTTGGAAATTTCAAGTGCCTACCTCGAAAACCAATGTAGTTATAAAACAAATCAGTAATTTATTCGCATAATCGAATCAGTAAAATGACGCGCCGCTGTCCAGGAAAACTGCTGATTTACTCTAAAACCCGCAATAGTTTATAGAAAATAATGAAATTTTTTGCGCGGTACGAGTTGTACCGTATTTAAATATGGGGAAAATCTCAAGTGCCTACCTCGAAAACTCATGCAGTTATAAGACAAATCAGTAATTTATTCACATATAATCGAATCAGTAAAATGACGCGCCGCCGTCCAGGAAAACTGCTGATTTGCTCTTACACTCGCAATAGTTTATAAAAAATTATGAAATTTTTTACACGGCATGGGTTGTACCGTATTTAAATATGGGGAAAATCTCAAGTGCCTACCTCGAAAACTCATGCAGTTATAAGACAAATCAGTAATTTATTCACATAATCGAATCAGTAAAATGACGCGCCGCCGTCCAGGAAAACTGCTGATTTACTCTAAAACCCGCAATAGTTTATAGAAAATAATGAAATTTTTTGCGCGGTACGAGTTGTACCGTATTTAAATATGGGGAAAATCTCAAGTGCCTACCTCGAAAACTCATGCAGTTATAAGACAAATCAGTAATTTATTCACATAATCGAATCAGTAAAATGACGCGCCGCCGTCCAGGAAAACAGCTGATTTGCTCTTACACTCGCAATAGTTTATAAAAAATTATGAAATTTTTTACACGGCATGGGTTGTACCGTATTTAAATATGGGGAAAATCTCAAGTGCCTACCTCGAAAACTCATGCAGTTATAAGACAAATCAGTAATTTATTCACATAATCGAATCAGTAAAATAACGCGCCGCCGTCCAGGAAAACTGCTGATTTGCTCTTACACTCGCAATACTTAACCAAAAATTATGAAATTTTTTACACGGTAGGGGTTGTACCGTATTAAAATACCTTGGGAATTTCAAGTGCCTACCTCGAAAACCCATGTAGTTATAAAACAAATCAGTAATTTATTCACATAATCGAATCAGTAAAATGACGCGCCGCCGTCCAGGAAAACTGCTGATTTGCTCTTACACTCGCAATAGTTTATAAAAAATTATGAAATTTTTTACACGGCATGGGTTGTACCGTATTTAAATATGGGGAAAATCTCAAGTGCCTACCTCGAAAACTCATGCAGTTATAAGACAAATCAGTAATTTATTCACATAATCGAATCAGTAAAATAACGCGCCGCCGTCCAGGAAAACTGCTGATTTGCTCTTACACTCGCAATACTTAACCAAAAATTATGAAATTTTTTACACGGTAGGGGTTGTACCGTATTAAAATACCTTGGGAATTTCAAGTGCCTACCTCGAAAACCCATGTAGTTATAAAACAAATCAGTAATTTATTCACATAATCGAATCAGTAAAATGACGCGCCGCCGTCCAGGAAAACTGCTGATTTGCTCTTACACTCGCAATAGTTTATAAAAAATTATGAAATTTTTTACACGGCATGGGTTGTACCGTATTTAAATATGGGGAAAATCTCAAGTGCCTACCTCGAAAACTCATGCAGTTATAAGACAAATCAGTAATTTATTCACATAATCGAATCAGTAAAATAACGCGCCGCCGTCCAGGAAAACTGCTGATTTGCTCTTACACTCGCAATACTTAACCAAAAATTATGAAATTTTTTACACGGTAGGGGTTGTACCGTATTTAAATACCTTGGAAATTTCAAGTGCCTACCTCGAAAACCCATGTAGTTATAAAACAAATCAGTAATTTATTCACATAATCGAATCAGTAAAATCACGCGCCGCCGTCCAGGAAAACTGCTGATTTGCTCTTACACTCGCAATAGTTTATAAAAAATTATGAAATTTTTTGCACGGTACGAGTTGTACCGTATTTAAATATGGGGAAAATTTCAAGTGCCTACCTCGAAAACTCATGCAGTTATAAGACAAATCAGTAATTTATTCACATAATCGAATCAGTAAAATCACTCGCCGCCGTCCAGGAAAACTGCTGATTTGCTCTTACACTCGCAATACTTAACCAAAAATTATGAAATTTTTTACACGGTAGGGGTTGTACCGTATTTAAATACCTTGGAAATTTCAAGTGCCTACCTCGAAAACCAATGTAGTTATAAAACAAATCAGTAATTTATTGACATAAACAAATCAGTAAAATGATAAGAATCCTGTATGTTATGTTGCATTACAACATTTCTAGGGCACTTACTAAAATAAAGCAATTATTACACATTATAAGAAAAATATATATATTAATATTTAATATGATCATTATAACATAATAATATAACACTAGACAATGACTTAGGATTTATCTACATCCCTGAACTTACAATTAAAATTAAAGGTTTGTCATGGGCTAAGGTTAGCTCTTCTTTGGATTTTTTTTTAATTTTGAATGTAGCATTGTACAACTAGTGCATATATTTTAAGTGCATTAT